AAGATCCTGGAGTACATCTACAGGGGATCAACTGCTGTCCTAATGCTTCATAAAAAAAGCAACAGAATACCAATCAAGAAGGGTGTAAAGCAGGGGGATAAAATCTCCCCAATGCTATTTACCACGTGCTTACAAGAGGTTTTCAGAGGCCTAGAATGGGAACAGTTAGGGATAAGAGTTAATAGAGAATACCTTAGTAACCTGCGCTTCGCCGATGACATTTCATTGCTGAGTAACTCAGGGGACTAATTCCAACTCATGATTAAAGAATTAGACAAGGAGAGCAGAAAGGTGGGTCTTAGAATTGATCTGCAGAAAACGAAAGTAATGTACAACAACCTCGGAAGAGAGCAGTGCTTCAAGATAGTTAATAGTGCACTTCAAGTTGTTTATTTATTTTTATTTCATAATACCCCTAAAGGCCCCCGAAGGGGTATTACATAGGGGAACGGACACATGAAACAAATTTTTGTACGCTTATACAGTCTAAAAACAAGAATAAACAAAATAATGAAAGCGAGCTAAATACAAAAAGCAACAACAACAACCAAAATCAGATACTATGAAAAAAGAAAAATTAAGTAGAGATGAAATATTGAATACTGGAAACATAAATTAAGGGCACTAACAAATACAGTATACAAGCAAAAAAAACTAAAATGATGGCATGATCTTAAGATACAAAAGTTCGCAATTAACACATAAATAATACAAATCAAGCGTGTACAATGGTCGTGAAAAACATTAACACATGATAACAAGAAAAATAAACAGTGATGTACATATGAAGAAGCCTAATGAGAGTACGTGCGGTGGATATCTAGTCGGAAATGTTGAGTAAAAGTTCGTTAAATGTTGGGAAATCTGCTTGAGTGGCAATGTGGGATGGCAAGCTATTCCATGCAACTATTGTTCGGGGAATGAAGGAATTAGCGTAATGAGCTGAGCAACAAGTTATACATTTTATCTTGAAGATATGGTCTGTGCGTGGAAAGATGACTGTTGGTGCTTCGAAAATGCGGTGAAGGTATGGGTGATGATAGAGCTTGTGGAGAAGCGAAAGGCGGGCAGTTCTGCGGCGATGAGTTAAGTCGTCAAGCTGAGCGCGAGTTTTTAGTAAAAGACTATGTCTACTTAGTGCAGGTAATAACCACGGAGCCGAACCAAGAGATTGAAGTAACTAGAAGAATAAGAATGGGGTGGAGCACATTTGGCAAGCACTCTCAATGTTATGACAGGTAGATTGCCACTATCCCTCAAGAAGAAGATATATAACAGCTGTATCTTGCTGGTACTTAGCTATGGAGCAGAAACCTGAAGACTTACAAAGAGGGTTCAGCTTGAATAGAGGATGACGCAGCGAGCAATGGAAAGAAAAATGGTAGGTGTAACTTTAAGAGACAAAAAGAGAGCAGAGTGGATCAGGGAACAAAACGGGGTTAAGCATATCATAGTTGAAATCAAGAAGAGGAAATGGACATGGGCTGGGCATGTAGTGCATAGACAGGACAATTGCTGGTCGTTAAGGGTAACTAACTGGATTCTCAGAGAAGGCATGAGAGTTAGGGGGAGACAGAAGGTTAGGTGGGCAGATGAGATCAAGAAGTTTGTGGGTGTAAAGTGGCCGCAGCAAGCACAGGATCGAGTTAACTGGCGGAACATGGGAGAGGCCTTTGTCCTGCAGTGGACGTAGTCAGGCTGATGATGATAGTGCACAGCACCTCAACTGACGGCTTGAGGCTTTGAGCATTTTTCTGTAATCCATATCACTTGCTGTTGAATTCCCAAGGATTAATAGGGTACAGTGTAGACCTACGCAGACATTTTTGTTTCTTCTTTTTATTGGCTCTTTGAGGCAAAAATGCACATTTACTACACCGTACTTTTGTAACAGGTATGTGTCATATCATGAGTTCGGGTAGTTTTGAGCGGCGTCTAATTTTGTTCAAAAAAATGAGGAGAACATAGAGCTAAAAGGCTCTCAGAAAAAGAAGTTTCAAGGTTTATCTCATCAAAATCAGAACCTACAATTTGTATAGGCTTCGTGATAAACTGAGTTAGGCGAAAGTCTTAACAAGCTTTTATAGTAAGGCATGGGCTACCTTATCACTAGCCGAGATAGATAAAGTGACAAAACTGAAGCCTGGAAGTTTAAAATCGCCGAACGTTTATAACTAACACTAAATTTGGCGTAGGTGAGGAGGCGACAAAATTTGTCAGTAGACCATCACATAAGGTCAGGAGGATTTTGCCCGGTCCTTTAGACCCACATGTTTTTGTCCTGCCACTGTTGAGCTTCAGTTATGAACTAAGTAGCCAAGAAGGGCATCTCTTAATCTGTCTATGTTATGAGAGATTAAAATGCATGTGTCGTATCAGTTTAGGTCATCGTGCACAATGAATGCATGGATCCGATGCAAGCAAATCAACGCAATACAGGCATCACACATGAAGCAAGCACTTCAGCTCCTTAGTCAGACATATGATCGCAGCACTTCCAACCATGCCCTGGTCACCTCAATAGCGAGACGTGAAGACTTCGTAGATCATGTGAGTTTTTCGACAAAATTGTAGTGCTTTTGTAATCTAGCTGCTATAGGCAACATTAAAAGAGGCTCTCGTGCAGTGCCAGGATTGCCAGCCTAATGCTGACTGTACTAACATTGTCGTCACAGGTGAAATTAATGAATTAGTGTGGTTTTAATGTTGGGTGTTGCATTAATTAAATTGATGGCAACCTGTACAGTATGGCTAGTAATTCAAGTAGTAATGGGTTAGTCATCTTTATCTCATTTGTGAAGAAAGGTTGGATGAAAACAGCTTGTATACCTTTCTCTTATGTTGATGATAATAACCTTTCTACTTGGAAAAGGTTTCTACATGCATACGAAGCTACAATAGTCAGCCCTGTCCATAGCTGTACAAGGTTGCAAGTCCTACCTGCGAACCTATCGCTGCACTATAACACGCTAAAGAAGAAAAGAAAACCGAAGAGCACCTGCAAGTGCTTTATATGGCAGTCTATTTGCGAACATATTCAACTCATACTTAGTGGAAGTGCAGCAGCACATCGTAGCCGCATGAATTAAGATGTGTGACCCTGGGCATGAGGGAGGTCAAGCTGGTTTGCTTGGTGGTCCAGACACGACTACCTGGTCTAGAGGCACAAGCGACAACATGGCCAACATTCCAGATTTGTTTAAAAGAAATAAGCGGACCATCTCTTCCTCAGAGTGTAAGCATGTAAACATTTTAATATCCAGTGCAAGGGTATAGTTAGCACAGAAGCTTAACGTGGCATGCATAGCACGTACATAAATGACTTTTTGTTAACTTTTTCATATAAGGCGATCAATAATGTGCTGCATGAAAACTGGAAATTGCATACGCAAGTTGAATCGCATTCTTGATTTTAGCAGCGCACTGAAAGATCCTCGTCCCTCAGAGCACTGCTGAAATTAATAACAATAATGTACTGTCTGCGACACAAGTTAACAAGTTTCTCCTAAGCACATATTGGACTGATCTTCCTGAATGCCGCCTCCTTTGATTTCGAATGTTTGATTATCCTCGCAGAATAGGACATTTATACGCTTGTTCAACAATCGATGCACTTTCTTGCCGAGACGTACAAGGACACACAAAACTCCAGGCCCGTAAGCGAAAACGATGCAACTGACTGCATCGTTTCCTCCACCACTGGGTAAGCAATGCTGTTCACGCTATTTATTGAGGCTCTGATGACAGAAAAACGCGCCGCAGTAGACGTGGTACCAGAACAGCGTCACTGGACGCATAGATTTCGCGAACGAAAGGCAAGGATGCCCATTAATTTGACACCAGACCACCGATTTCCTCTCTGTCTACAAAAGAAACACTCTGTCGACAGGCAAGGATGCACATTAATTTGACGCCAGACCACCGATTTCCTCTCGGTCTATCAAAGAAACACTCTGTTGACGTTGCGATGCAGATTTATCACACGGTGTTCGGCGAATGCTGTTGACATGGCACATTGCGATGTAGAACGTACACATGTACTGTACAATATTGTGTGCGATACTGTACGTATGTGTACTGTATGTGTACTGTATGTGTACAATACTGTACACATGTACTGTATTAGGGTAGTCGTAGGATCAAAGCTATGGATCAAAATACGCTCCAAACCGAAACCAGGGGCAAACCCGCTGCACCCTCGAGCACAGAACAAACAATCAACTTATTTTCCTTTTAATAATACTTATAAAATAACAAATAAGTTATTAGGCTGTTAAATTGAGCAATATATACTAATATTACAAAAACAGTATACAAAACAAATATTTTTATACAATGCGTCAATAATTAATTTATGCACTATAAAAACACGTTACACACTTGTTTAATGACACTTTTGTAAGTTTATTGCATTATAAAGTAATTATTTGCACATTTAAATAGCTTTACGTTAATTTTTTTAAAGTGACGTCACTTCTGTGCGGCGCAGCAGCCAGTTCTGTGTGGGGATGGCTGCTGCGCCGCGCGGCGCACGAGACGCTGCCATATTATGGCATTCACATGCATGTGATTACAAGTGCGCTCTATCGTCGTGTAAGATTTCCGTGTTTTGCATTGAACAGCTAGCAGTGTTTTTGTATACTATTTTGATAATTTATTCCTTCTTCGGCCTATATGAAATGCTTTGTAATATATGTACTGTTACTTGAAATATTGTATGATTGTGTGTAGACTGACTGATTCTCACTTTCTTGGTGATTTGTATGAAATACTTCGAAAGTACATGTCCCCCCAATGTGATGACCGTTTTAGCCTTTGTGATTTCATGGAATAAAATGGTATTTAAGGCTTTGCAATTTGCACTGCGACATTTTTTGACCTCGAGCACGGTAATTTTAGTGAATATTTTCAAGAAATGCACGAAACAAATGCACCTATATATTATAAAAGTGCACTTTCAAATCGTTTTCCACAGCGCAAACACATTACTCTTCCAAAAACCGCTCAGCACGAATATCTAGGGAAATCTAAGGAATATTTTTAACTTCAGAGAGAGAAAAAGTGGCTCCGCAGGTTGGCAGCACTGGCTGTAACATGTGTGCTGCTGTTTGTGTCATAAGTGCACGTGCGTGATGTTTTCCTCTAGGCAAACACCGCAAAAGCGTCCTAGACAAGATGACAGCGTGGCAAGGAAGCAGATTTACCCTATATTCTCTTCCGGAAGCTCTTCAAAGGTGAGTGTACGTATACTGCTGTTCTTCAAACACCTGTGCGTGCGAGCATGCCCTGTCAGCGCAAGTTTGGCGGTTCCTTCAAAGGTCGGGTGCCCCACTTGAGATGCCGGTCCCGTCTCAAACATATTCGTCAAAAGTGAAAGTTGGGACACCATTCAAGTGAATTACTGTCCTGTCTTTGTTGTTGATCTTGTTTTGCGTGCCGTTAGCCCTGACATAGGAGTAAAACTACCTTCGAAAGTGGCAGAGTGAAGGACAACTTCCTTTCTGCAACTTCCGAGAGCATCCGATAATCTTTATCTACCATGTTTATTGCGCGCTCACTGCGTGGTGTCGTAACTCATAAAGTAGCACAGAGTATGTCATTTGGTAAATAAAATCTTTAAATCAAGGCCAGCTGGAGAATCTGTGCCTGAGAATTCGCGAGCTCTACCCTTTTTCGACGCTTTGCATCGCGTACAAGTTTCTGGTGGCCTCTTCATGTTAGCTGACTCAGAAGTAAGCTTCTTCTTCGTGCACTCATATTCCTCATCTCACCGCATAGGGATTGATGTTGTGAATAATATCATTGTTTTGGGACGTTAAATTCCGACAACTGATAATTAAAATAAACCTACCGCCAACATTTGGCGATATTGCCCGCTCAACATACTTCAACAGAAGTGTGTTGAGCGGGTACGCCCGTTGTTCTCGACTATGCGAACGTTGCTTGCAGTTTTGTTCTTGCGTCGCGATCTCCTTTGCCGCTCCGGGTTACTGCTGTCGCTGAAAGGCAAAATGAAATGTTACGCTCAATTATGTTTTCAAATGTACTGATTTGACTGCCTTATTGTGCAAGTCCGTGTGTTCTGCAATGTTTACAACACCAAAGTGCTCAACCTAGTGTATGTTGACCCTGATGCTGGTTTACTCTTTAATTTTAATTTAATTTTAATAAGCCACCAAGAGACGTGTTGGATGAGAAATGTCATTACAAGTTTAGATAAAAAGCGGAAAAAGACCCATTCATGTGGCAAATTAGCTGTACCTGAGCACAGCTCTAGTATGAAACAAAGTGAGCTGTTGTTTTCCCTTCCTGATTTGCGAATATTAAATCATTCTTTTTTCACCTTGGGAAGTACAGAGACACACTCCAACTTCTTCATGCCATATTACTTCAGTGTACTCCACTTAATTATTTGTAATGTACTTGTTAATATCCATTGAATTATAGGCATTCATTTGTTATAAGTTTATGTACTTAGTTCACAAGATGACACTTAACATATATTCTTTGATTATGGCTGGCAGCAACTTTGCTCTTGCAGTGTCATCTATACCAAGTTTTAATGTTAGGGCAAACACAGTCACAAATGTTCAGTTTTTTCTTGAAGCTTATCCTAGCATCTATTAGGAAAAACACAAAGGGCAAGCATTCGAGTACTGGCCTGATACCACCAGAGCAAACGATCATGCAACGCAAACACTGGCTCGTTGTAAGACAAAGACAATGGAAGTGTGGTGTAAGCTCAACTGAAAGGGTCATATGGTTCATCTGATGTCTCGTGTAAGCTATCCATTGTCCCCATTTTTGAATGCTAATCATTGTGGCATTTGTACTCTTGTTAGGCAGGAGTTGTAAAGGTCTTAACCATTCTGATTATACATTTCGCACACTTTTTGAAGAGTGCTGGAAGCACTTCTGCTAGGTCACTTCATATTTAGTCAATATATTTTCAGGACACAGGTACACTGGATACATTGTAGTTAAGAGTAAAAGCATTGCAAGGCAACTCAAAAGATAATTTTGAATTTCGTTGCATCAGTAATTGCATTGATGATGAAAGCTGGAAGCTGTTTCCATTAGGTAGTGCTTTTTGGCATAACAAATGCAGGGATATATATATGGCAGTAACAAGTTTACAGACAAGCTTTAAAGTAGTAATCTCTTTGAGATCTATATACACATGATGCCACACTGATATGAATTGCTTTATAGGGTGAGCCCCGCCACGGTGGTCTAATGGCTAAGGTACTCGGCTGCTGACTTGCAGGTCGCGGGATCGAATCCCAGCTGTGGCGGCTGCATTTCCGATGGAGGCGGAAATGTTGTAGGCCTGTGTACTCAGATTTGGGTGCACGTTAAAGAACCCCAGGTGGTCGAAATTTCCGGAGCCCTCCACTACGGCATCTCTCATAATAATATGGTGGTTTTGGGACGTTAAACCCCACAAGTCAATCAATCAATCTTTATAGGGTGAACCAAGCAGCTTAAGTAGAGTGTTCAACTGCGACTGTTGTCAAGGGCTTGTGCAACTGGCTCATTTGGCTTGTAGAATGTGGCAAGACCATTCGAGGTTCTATATATGCATCTACAATTAAGTTGACCACACTGTGTTCTAGAGCTCAATGTTATACAGCCCAGCTGGCAGGTGCATTTCTCTGGAAAGGAAACATTAGCTAAACATCGCCCTGATGAAGCACTTGAGCCAGAAAACTGAGCCAGCTTTCCTGTCCTTGAGGAAGCTTGGTTTATAAAACTGAAGCTTTTGCCTAAGATGTCACTGAGAGATGGTCTTTCAGTTCATGGGATAGCAAATCCATTCCTGAGATCACAACTCTGCTAGTGCTTTCCTAGCAAACATGAAAATTTTGGGTGATGTACTTTTTCATTGCAACTTCTGTATGTGTAGGAGTATATATGTGTAAATTGTATGTACTTGTGTAAACTGCTATAACTTATGCATTGCAATTATTTGCAATATATACCGATAAACTGTTTGCCAGAAACTCCTAAATGGGTGCTGGTATTGCACCGGGCACTAGTCATTTAGATTAGTGGACCAGCTATTCACCCCAAGATAGAGCGGAGTCGCCGCCCGGTGCCCACTGGCTGAAGGGTGCCTTGTGTGGATTGCTCCCTGCGTCGTCTGCTAGGCACATAAGGCTAGCATATGCGTGCACGTCCTGCTCATCCTCAAATGGTGGTTTGTCCCACTCTGTTAGTGCAAGTTGTACTGCTTGTACATTTTGCTGGCTCAATCTACAGACACCCTTGGCCTTGATCGGCTGTATCTGCACTGCAATAAGATCAGTTCATGCACTTGCCAAGAGTGCTGTATATTATCGTTGTACTGTCCATTCGCTAGTGGTGTAGGTGCTGCTTTATAGTTGGTGCACTTGGCGTCGTCCCAAACATGAGGAATATTAAATATTGCGTGAATGCAGAGTTTCAGCAACTGAGTGATAAATGAAGGTATGCATTGTTGTTAGGGGTTCAGGTCTGTGACAGTGTTGTTTATCGGTTATGCGAGAAGCATTACTTGTGCTTGAGATAATCTCTTATTGTACAGTCCTGGTCCCACATCAACGAAACATTTCTGTCTAGTTAATTCTGACACTTTGGTACTTATATTGTTATTTAAAAAAGAATAGAAAGTGGAATGAAACAGAGGTGATTAAACTTGAGTCGCTGTGCGCAATTTTAACATAGGGCAAAATTTGTACAGACACACCTGTCTGCTTAGATTTGGGTTCGCTTTAAGGAATCCAGATTGTCAAAATTAATCTAGATGGCATGCCTGACACTTATGTCATATAATTTCACGTGATATGTCATCTTTTTTTTTTTTACACTGCCTTGACCATTTTTGTGGGGTTTTTATAGACTGATGGAAGGAGCAAACATTGTCTGCTTGAAAAAAAAAAAAAGACTTTTCTCTCATCAATTAACCAAACCTTTATTTCACCCCTTTCATGGAGATAATCACTCAAAAGAACGTTGGGTGCGGAATTTTTACCTTTTATACCGTTATAGGAAAAAAAAAAGAGAGCACTAAAGCTATCTCAGCCCCATAGTTTTACTACATTCATTTCATGGAAAAATGAGTCACAGGAAATATAGATGCATATTCGTGGTTATTTCAGCTTGTCACCCAAAAATATGAAATTTTTCTTTCTTTCTCTTTTTTTTTCGATTATTAAAGACCAGCAAGCATGAAGCAAAAATAATTAATTTTGTCGCACTACAGCAGGGCATAGTGGGAGACACAAGTGCTACACTTACAAACAAATATGCAAGAAATGTGACATAGCATGAAAATGCACACTGTCGCCAAGTGCTAACATCCCTTTCAATGGAAGGTTGCGTTGCTCTCACAAGTAATATTAACGTTCGGCAAGATTTGTGCATCTCTTCCTTAGACGACATATATATTACGAGTATACTGCAGTCAGTGCATTTTATTAGTCGACAAGCAGCTCACACTGATCACAAAAAGTTGAACTGCATACATTGGTATGCGTGCCGCTGGCTGCCTGTCTATACCAGTGCAGTGATGGTGCTGCAGCCATATCTAGGGGGAATTCATGCAACAAATTTTGATAATCGTGTAATGAAGTTTCTCTTTTTCATTAATTTAATGAATTTGGTGAACTTCTGTTCAGCAAACAACTATTGTCCCTGTCACCCCTGCCGAGCCTTTAGACGAGTCGAAACCAACACCAGAGTTCAAGCCCTTGGCTGAGAAAATGCGGCCCTCTTCCCTGGATGAGTTCATAGGCCAGAGTGGTGTGCTGGGTGACCAAAGCCTTCTGCGGCAGCTCATCACCAGTAACCGCATTCCCTCCATGATTCTCTGGGGACCACCTGGCTGTGGAAAGGTTGGAATCTTGTGGAGCACTAGTAATAGTAGTACTTAATAATGTTAAAGTATATTCGTACAGAAGAAAAAGATCATAGCTGTCTCTTTGTGTTGATGCACACATTCAATGCTCTACTGGGGCTGTGGGAAGATACAGGTTGAAGTAGCCTAAAAAAGGGATGTTGTGAAATTTCTGGTGTCCTTAGGGCCTTCCTTAGGGTCAATAAAAGTGTCCTCACCTTCCTTTAATATTGTTGTTGTTCTTCTTAAAAGGGTGCACAGGTGGCCATGTGACTTTAGGCCAGACGGCACAATTGCCTTTGGTAATACTTTGGCTGATGACCGTGATGATGAATTGTGGCTCAGCTTTTTGTTGGCAATTATCAATCACCTACTAGTTACTCAATTCAAATGGTGTGATGTCCAGTGCAAAGGTGTGGTATCGCATGTCTAGAGACCGGATTTTAGGCAAATGCCTATTTTGTTCCTTTTGTTCCTATCACTTTTATATATGAGCCTGAATTAGAGTTTAGCAAAGCATTTTATAGTGTTCTTATAGTGCCTATCAATGCCTGTTTTGTATATTTCTGTCTGAATTCCTACAAGTGCCTATAAATGCCTATTCCTAATCACTGCCTATGTAAACACTATTGCACCGCAAATCTTGTTTTCGAGTACAGTTTAAAGCCTGTTACTCATGTTGCCAGGCAAAGGTGATCGTTCGGAACTCTACCAGGTGCAACATAATTTTTTAGTAGAGCAAATTTCTCAAAAGCTACTGCTAGCAGCTATGAAATGCGACAAGGCGGCCACCTTATGCCACCGCACTGACATGGCGCTAGTAGTTCGAGGAGGGGCAGGAGGAGATAAAATGCTATGTCTGCAGCCCTAAAAATGAGAGCACATCCCAGCGTATACGGTGGAAAGAAAATAAATCTGGGAAGAGGAGAGGGGAAGAAGGGGACTGTGACTTCCATGGCTGAGGATATGGCGAGTGGCTTTTACAGACGTTCTTTCACTCCAGCGTTCCCCAGGCATTGAAGTGCCTCCTTAAAGACCTGGATCTGTTGGGGAGCAGAGAACAGGAAGTACCTCTGTACAACTACAGGAAGATGAAGCACGAGTGCAAAACAGTAAAGTGCCGTTAGGAAAATCAGAGCACAAGCAAATTTTAAAAAACTCATGCCCAAATGGCTTTTTTTTTTGTAATTTACTTCTTAAAAGGCACTTCACCTGGTCACATAACAATATATAGTTGGACACTGGAAGTTGTTGCATGCACAATGAATGACTTTGTACCACCAGAATTTTTGTTTAATTGTTTAATTATGAGCCACAAAAGCATGATGCGAGGAGGTGTGCTTGATACCTTTTCCACTCGCCCTATGTAGACTTCGCAGGCCAAGTTTTTCCCTGCCCTAGACGCAGCAACTCGGAGCCTTGGAAAATCACGTAACTCGGATACATCAACACGTCATGCGCCCAGAAGGTTACATTCCGATGATATGAAGAAGCCAGGCCGTGTATGCAAACGGTGTTGTGTCGCTTTGGCGTTTTCTATAGTGAGAATACTGCCTGTTTCTGTGGAATGGATCCTCCTATACACGCACGTTTGAAGAGAGTGGCATGAATTGTGTATCTTAAACACGATACATGGCATCGCACTGGAGCTGCTGTAAGGGATGATGCATCAAAAACAGATCAAGTGTCCCTTCTCTTCGACCCGTGAGTTTTTGCGCTGTTACCGCCCATAATGTATCACTAACTAGCCCAACTATCAGTCTTCCTTCAGATCAAGGTGTGCCAGGGGTGGTGCCATCACGACGCGACAATGGCCGGAACACGAACGCAAACGAAATGGAGGCAGCTTAGTGTGGAATCTCACCCGTTTCTAAGCAATAAATAAATAAAATAATAAACATGCAAACAGATTCTGTTTACGTGTTTTAATATTTCTATCAACTTTCACTCTTTTATTCAAACAACGAATTGCACAAGTTACATGTCTCCTTGAATAATTCTCACAGTGTCATGTACTACTGTGACGTGCGCAGGACGATTCATTGTTGCATGTCACCTCCTCCATGTTGGTTGGTGCGCACCTGTGAGATAATGGGTAAGCAGTGTTCCGTCTGACCTCTCACCTCATTCCGGGTAGCGTAGTGTTGGAAATGATGGCAGACATGATCGTGAATGCTCAGTGCATGCATTCCAGGTCTGCTCGATATGCTCAAACTTGGTGAGGGGCCCTTCAAGGTGTTCACACACGGAGGAGAAATTGAACGTGCATGATTAAACTCCGCTATTACAAGGCCAAGAGACCCTTCTGACCTTTTAGCAGTCTAGCCACTTGGCCTTGTGCTGGTATTCTCTGCCGTGCCGAGAAAAGAGTCGGTACCGTGCTTATTCGACGGTGGACACATACGTATATAACGATGCTGAAAAACAAAAGGAGAGACCATGATCTGTAAACCTGGCCTGAAAAAGGACAGTTGCATGGCTATTCTAAACCATTGGTGTCTTTGCACCATTGTAAACTAACATTATATTTTTGCTTTGCTGTCGTAGAAACAGGTCGCACACGTCTCTTCAAAAATTCAAATTTTTGTAAAAAATTTACTGTGCCTATATGAACAATTTCGGGGACCTCAAACTGCATTTTGCTTGTCTATTTTTGGTGCCTTAAACCTGATTTTTTTAGTACCTAAAATTCTGGCCTCTAGTTATGTCTGTTAATGTGACTGCTTGCCCAAGATGATGTCTTTACGGGGTTTTCCCAAAGCAGTTTCAAGCACTGGCATGTCTTTGTGGCAAAACTCGTCACTGCTGCAAAAAATACTTGTGTTTGACTCCAGTTTGCATTGTGGTTTTTGTGTATTGGAAATTTTATTGTGGTCATCAGGGTATTTGCACTGCATGCCACAACCAGTGCCTGATGAGGTTAAAATTTTTGGCGTAATAAGAGACATTGCCAAAGCACAATTATGTTAGAATAAATAGCTGATTGTAGACAATCTTTTCATTACAATAATAAACATGCACATAGATTCAGAGAAATATGTGATGTCTTTATGCAATCATATTATGAGGCGGGTTCAGCAGCTAAGCGAAACGTATTGGGGGTATCTTTTCAGAAAGGGATTAGGCTGTTAAACAAGACCAAGCACTCCGCTCATGAAAGAGGTTCTCGGTGAGACATATGTTCTTTTTGGTTGAGAAGAACTGGTGGCTTGTAAAATTGAGAACACAGTGCAGTTACAGACGACACAACAGCAGTGGAGTTTCTAGCCGTGATGCAGTACTCAGTGGCCATCATTGTCATCTGTATCTACAGCTTGTTCACCCACTTGTACAGGAGCTTTGATGCTGCCTAAAAAAGTGAAGTTCTATCTGGAGTGATTAGCTGCAAACATTAACAATACAGTGATTATTTCTTATGACTCTGGAATGTAGAGTTGATACAGCACTTGGCTGTATCATGGGGGTTTATCAAGGAGTGCAGTGGCTACAACGATTGTAGCAACAGCAGGCAGGGTGTAGCCAGAGAGCAAACTGTTCGTGTGAACCAGCTGATGGTAGTGCGCTTTTTTACGAGCTGATCTTCCTCACATAATGATCATCATTGTCAGTTTATTTATGTCAACTGCAGTTTGAAGGCCCCTTTCCAATGATCTCCCCTCAGCCTGTCCAGCATCGGCCGATTCTGTTTTAATTTTATTCTGCAGTATTTGAATGTCTATATATGTAGGTTTCATTTCCGAAGTTGACTTTTTTATGACCTGTCATGGTAGGTCTTTTAACTGAATAAGGGCACGCACACAGACGCGAACACTGAAACAGGAAGTTGTTTTCGTGTTTATGTCTATGTGCACACCTTTATTCAGTTAAAAAATGAACCAATTCCAACTACCCCAATTATCCATGCTACTGCCATGGCAGCTTAACTGCGGTTTCATGGCTACTTCATTGCACGAGTAATCTCGAAAATGAAGGTTCAGCGCTCTGCCATGGTTACATAAGTTCGAAATGGGGCAAAGAGTCTCATGAACCTAAATTTTCTGCACGCTATATAACTTAAGATGAAGATTAATTTTGTTTTCTCCCCTTGCTGTGTGCTCCATAGTGCCATAGTTTAGGCACATCCAGTTTTGTACAATAACCTAAAGAGGATACTGTCGCTGCGATTGTTGTACCACAATAGAAATCATTGAAAGTACAGGCTTCAAACTGGGTAGATTTATCTAGCAAACTGCCTACGCATCTTTTTCTACAGTTTCAGTTTTGTTCTTCACGCAGCGTAGGCTGTATGGTGTGATACAAAGCACTCGGGCAAATAGGATGAAGAGCGCTAGGTTTCTTGGTTTGCTGTTGTATTGAAGTTTTACAACTAGTATGTATTTGACAATTTTAGCAAATCGTCGTGCATTCACTGCTGCGCGTAGACGTAGCATCCTTAGATGTAGCTGGATATTTTATAGAGCTCACATCTTTTTATAAGCGCATCTTGCGGAAATTAATTGAGATAGATTGGCTAACTAGATGCACCATCACGCTTTTCTGACTTTACTTCACAGCAAAGCGAGGGATGCATTAGGGGCAGACCACATGGATAGACACACAAGACATTGCAACAGACGATGTGTTAGGTGTTTCAAACATAATACTGTACTATCATTTCTATAAATAGGTAATACATACTTGTGAAGAAAAGCAAGCACGTTTGTTTTGAAGTGTTATGAAAAGTAATTTATTGTAACCTCATGCCAAACCTAGAACACGATGACAGAGCAGTGCATACCTTGGTTGTTGAGTTTGTCCAGGTTTCACTTCCATCTCATAGTTAAAGAAACTTCTTACACGGCTGAGACAGCTGCGCATATTGCGCATTTCTGATACATCTTCGTTTCTTTGCGCCAAAACAGCCCCGATAGTTAGAATTTTGATGCCAACGTCAGCTTCAGGGGAGAAAAAAGGCCACGTTGACTAATAAGAAGCGAACGGGCATAATCCTTTCTTTTT